AGGGTTAAAGGGAGCGCAGAGCAAGGGAGAGGAGCCAGACGCCAGCCTGGCTACTGGAAACCACGATGGGCTGGCAGGGAAAGGGGCGGCTGCGGAGGGGGGGGCTCAGAGCACCCACGGCTGTACCGCCAGCACCCTGAGCACCCACAGCACCGTCACCCTGGGGTGCAGCCTGGCCCTGCCACGTCCCCGGCAGCGTCACCCCACCACGGTGCGCGGGCAGTGAGGAGCACCACAGCACCCAGCGGCGAGGTCCTCGTGCGGGAAACAGCCGGAGCCGGTGGCCCTGGAGAGCCCCGGGGCACGAGGGGCCACCTGTCACCGACAAAGGGCTAATTGGTATCAAGCCAGGTGAATTCAGGACTGCCACAAAAAAATCCAGGCCAGTGAGAGAGCCGCCAGCTGGGAGCAGAGCTGCCGGCCCACTGTTCCGCTGCTCCTTGGTGGCGGTGGCCAACAGCCCCGGGTCCTCTGCAGCATCCCCCGGCGGGCAGGGACCCCACAACCAGCCCCGAAATGGGGCTGTGCTGGGGTGGCAGAGGGGTGGAGGAGGGTTTGCACCCCCAACTCCGTGCCAGCTGGAGAGAAAGGCAAGAAAATGTAAAATAACGAGATGTCACCCCGGGCTGAGTAATAATCCCCCTCTCTCTGGAAGGAAACTTGGCACACGCCAGCCTGCGCCCGCCTGCCAAGTCCTGCTGGGAGCGAGGTTTCACACACGAGCTAGAAACCCCAAGAAGAAGTTTATAAGGGACCCGCTGACGCACCATTAGGCACGGCAGCGGCAGGAGCCGCTCGGCCCCAACTGCCATCCCGGAGGGCCCTCGGGCCCCGTGCCCAGGATGCCCCAACATCGCCCCGTGCCAGCATCACCCCACACGTCCCAACCCACCCCCTTGGAGTTTCACCCCTTAATCTGTGCCGAAGGGACCAGAGGGGGCACAGGAGCAACGCCTGCCCATGGGCTGGAGGATGCACGGAGGGGTCCAGCACCCCTTTGTAGCCCCCCAGTTTGGCCAAGTTGCCACAGGATCTGACCCCGCAGCCCCTTCCTCCTGCTTCAGACGTCGTGCCTGGCGCCGATGGCTCCAGAGGCTGGTAGCACCCGGGGGGCTCCGTCTGCTCCCCCCCTGCCTGGGCTTCCCCTGCAGCGAGGCCGAGGAGCAGCAGCGGGAGCCTTTAGGGACGGCTGCCACCCGGGGAAGTTTGCTGACTTACCAGAGGACCGGGAGGGAACTGGGCAGCTCCGGCTCTGCTGGCCACACGCGCCCAGGGCACTGCACCACAATTGGATTTGCAGCTGCCCTGCCTTTTACTGCATGGAAATTGAATTGTAAAATGTCAAAGACATTTCCTAACTGCGCCATATTAGCCTGGTTTTATTAAATACTGTTATCAGAGGAGATTATTAATGCAATCAAATGCAGGCAAAAAAAACCCCTAGAATTAACTGGCCGCTGCGCAGGAGGCTGCGCTGGAGAGCAGGAGGCAGCCAGCAAGGCCCTGCCCGGGGAACCCATGTCCCCACGGGGTCTGGCTCTGCACCCCAGAGCAAAGCAGGGAGCCCACCCAGCTGCTGCTGACATCCTGGGATGGGTCCCCCCCAGGATGGCAGCACCCTGGAGGGGGATGAGCCTGGGGGTGCTCGCTGAGCTGTGGGGACCCTCCCCTGCTGCCCACTCCCAGGCAAACTGTCTGCACCGCGCACATCCCTCCGAGGAGCTGCTTGGCTCCTCTCCTGGTCTTTTCATCCGTCGGGCTCTGCCTGCCCTGCACGGCCTGCAGCCGGGAGCAGCGTGGCCGGGACAGCACCAGTGGTGCCAGCGGGGCTGGGGTCCCTCCCCGGGCAGGACAGGACCCACTCCCTGCACGTGGCAGCGGGGCCGGGTCTGGCTGGGATAAGCCCCCCAAACGCCAGGAGCTGCTACCAGCGACACAGGGCAGGACGCAGAGCCCTGAGCGGGCAGTAACGGGGCTCCCCACCCCGCAGGGTCACCCTAAGAGCTGCCTGCGCCTCAGCACCCGCACCCCCGGGCAGTGGGGCCAGGCTGGGCTGGGTTACCCCGCGGAGTGGGGTGCAGGGGGTCCTGCACCCAGCTCCCAAACCCAGCCAGGCAACGTGGCTCACCCGGCCCCGGGTACCCAGAGCTCCGGTGGCACACGAGGACACACACGCTCCGATGGCAGCCCCGGGGACCAGGACAGCACTGGGTGGGCAGCGCAGCCCCGTGGGACACGGCCGGCCCCTGCCACACCGGGTGCTCGCCCGGCACCGCGGGGCCACGTGCCAGGACATCTCCACGAGAATCACTGTGTATGGAAGCACTTTGCAAATTCCCCCAGCTCAGCAGGAGGAGAAAGTGGGGCAGAAGTGCCCAATCCTCAGCTGGTGGTCCCTCCCACGGCACCAGCGGGTGCCACGCAGAAGCTGTTTTCAAAGTGGATGGAGACCCCACAGCTGAAGAACCGCGGTTCCCCTGCACGGCACAACTGCCCAAAGCCCCGGGTGCCCGGGATGGGGACAGTGCGGTGGCCGTGGATGCTGCTGGGGACACCCCAGGGCCCTGTCCCATCCCCCGGCGCTTGAGCCAGGGAACCGAGGGGAAAACGCCAAGTCACTACAATTCTTCGAGGTAGCACCGGGGAGGAGGGGACAGGGAGGGAAACAGTTTGCTGCCAAATCCCTGCATCTGATTTGCGTAACTTTCAGACAACCTCATCAATTATGGATGCCCGGGAAGCGAGCGCGGTGCGCGCTGCGGCCGGCCCGGGCCCCACAAACTCGTACTCCACAAGCTAAATTGGGCCCCACGTCGCCATAGCAACCCGTGTTAATTCACGCAGGGATTTTTAAAATCTCGTTTCTTAAACCCCACGTGAATAGGATATTATCCAGATAACAGAGCTAAGTTACAAATCTTCCTGGTGCCGTGCAGCGCGGGGAACGCCGGAGGCACGCGTGGGAGCAGCACGCGGAGGGGGCTGGGGGGACCCCGCTCGGTGGTCTCCCACCCCGTGCCTCCAGCGCTGCTGCTGCAGCCAGAGGTGCTCGTGCACCCCAAGCTGGGGGCACGGCACCCAACACCGGGCAGGAGAGCTGGGTCCCGTGGGGAAATGGCACCAGAGCACCCAGCACCAGCACTGTGCAGGGTCCGGCAGAGCTGGAGACGTTGCAGCTCAGCTTGGGGCACGGAGCAAGCATCCAGGCCCACAGTGGGAATGTCCCCAGTGCCAGGCTCGGCCCCACTGGGTGTCCCTTGTCCCTCGCTCATGGGCCTGGCACGGGGAGCACCGCTGGCCCCCCGCAGCCATCCCGGCCGGAGGGCTCTGCGGCGGGAGATGCAGCAGAGCAAGGCTGGGAAGGAGAGGGATGCGGGAGGAGGTGGTGGCACTCCGGCACCGCTGGCCGTTGCCACAGCAACACCAGCTGTGTGCCCGGGGCAAGCGGGGATCCGAGAGGGGTGTGCGGGGGATAGTGCTGGGCACAGGCCGGGCCTCGTCCCAACACACCGCTCCGAGAGGCCACAGCAGCGCCTGGAGCAGGTTGGGATGAAGGGGGGGCTGTGCTGGAGCCCCTTCCCTCCTTGCACAGGCTCTCGGCAGCGACAGCAACGATGGCACTGGTGACATGGGGGATGCCACGCCGGCCCTGCACAGCACCAGGACACGAGGGACACCGTGCCAGCCCTGCACGGCATCAGGGACACCACGCCGGGCCCTGCACGGCACTGGGGACAGGGGGGATGTCACGTCAGCCCTGCTCGGCACCAGGACACGGAGGGGACACCACTCTGGCCCCACTTGGCCAGGAACACCCCTGCACAACCAAGGATGGGGGACACCGCACCGGCCCTGCATCGCTTCAGCGATACGGGGGTGCCCAAGTTCGGGGAGTGCCAGGCCCCGGAGGGAGGGACACAGGGTGCAGCGGTGAAGGGGCCACACGCCAAGCGACCTGATGCCACGCGAGTGCTCCCCGTGGTCCCTGCCCGTGCCCAGGGACAGTCCCCAGCCCCCCGGGCCAGCCCCGCGCACCAGGCCTGAAACCTGCGGCTGCATCAGCACCATGAATAATTCAGTCCCGGGTGGAACGCCTCAACAGAGCGGTTAAATCATACAGAGAGCAGATACTCCTGGAGCTACACACACGTACCGACACAGATACACACGTACAGACACACGCACACCCCCGCAGCCTCACGCCTGGACACACGCACGCGAGTGCACACACGGCGCCGTGCAAACCCCGCCGCAGAGATGCACCCGGGGAGATACCCGCGGAGCTCCATCCAAACACCCCCACAGGCAGAAACACCAACACAGCCGCATCCAAACACACATATGCCAGGGTACACACCGACACGCAAACACAGACACGCACCCAAACACAGACACGCATGCACACCCGGCACGCACGTACACGCGCGCAGCCCCACGCACCCGGACCCGTGCAAATGCGGGCGGGCACCGGCGGCTCCGGCGCACACACACGCTCCACGGACACGCAGGTGCCCCCGGCTCTGCCTGGCTGCAGCCCCCTGACCCCGCCGAGCCCCCCCCACCCCCTTCCCGCGGCCGAGGCTCCCCAGGGGCTCGGGAGCTGTTACCGGGCACAGAGCAAGGGCAGCACCGGGGGTTGCACCGGGACCGGCGGGGCGATCCCGTGCAGCGCCGAGCGCCCGCACAGCACCCGGGGATGCTCGGCCACCGCCGGTGTCGCGTCCCCTCCTCTTTCCCCCACCCCTCGAAGGGCAACGGGGGTCCACGGCACGTCTACGGCCCCCGCCCGCCCGCGCCTCACCGGAGAAGGGCCGGGGATGCTCCGGGGCCGGGCAGGGCGGCATCCCGGCCGGGCCCCGGGAGCAGCGGGCGGGATACGGGCCCCCAGCCGCCGCGATGCCGGTCCCCGTCCCGTCCGTGTCGCGCGTCTGTGTGTGTGTGTGTGTCCCCTCTTCCTCCCCACCGCCCCCGGCCCCCCCCCCCCCCGCCGCCGCACTCACTGGCTTTGCCGGGCTTGGGCCTCTGCAGCAGCTTCTGCACGGCTGCGATGTCCTCCGCCTTCACCGCCTGCACCAGCTCCTGGTCCTTGCCCATGGCTCCGCGGCGCCGGGGCTGCCGGCTGCGGGCTCACGGCCCGAGCATCCTCCGCGGCGCGGCGAGGGGCGGGCGGCTCGGCACGGCACGGCACGGCACGGCACGGCACGGCACGGCACGGGCCCCCCCCGCCCAGCCCGCTCCGGAGGCGGGGGCGGCGGCGGCGGGCGCCCGGGGCGGGGCGGGGCCGCACCGGGAGCGCGGGGGGCGGTGGAGAGTGGGGAGGAGGAGGAGGAGGAGGAGGAGGGGGAGGAAAAGGAAGAGGGGGCGGGGGCCGCTCCGGCGCCTGCGGGCGGGGCACGGGGGATCCCCCTCCCCGGTGCGGGGGAAGGTGCCGAGGCCCGGGGGACGCCCCGGCGGGAGCCGCCGCCGCCGCGGCGTGTAATGAGCTGGCGGGTCTCAGCAGCCCCGGCAGCCGGAGGGGAGAGCGGGGAGGAGCAAGGCTGCTCGGGGCCTCCTCTTCCTCGGGGAGGACCGTGCCCCCCAGGGCGACAGGAGTCGGGGCTGGCTGGCCCAGCAGACACCCCCCACACACACACCCCCACCCCCGGGCACCCCAGCCCCCTCTGGGGTGCCCTTCACTGCTCCCCCTGGCCGCTGCAGTCACCGACCTGTGACAGCGGATCACTGGAGCAGCTTTTCAATTTCTTTAAATAAAGCCCTTATTAGCGCCTAATTTTCCACTTTTGTAGACACAATGGCCGGTGACATCCATCCCCTTCCACTTTTTTTATGGCTTAAACGGCTGAGACATTAAAGGTGTGGGAGGGTGCCTGGCTGTGCTGAGGATGCTGACCGAACCAGACGGGAAATGGGGCCAGGGGTGGACGAGGCATTAATGTGCTAATGGTGCCCAGCCAGGGCAGAGCACGGCCAGCACCTGCACCAAATCACGCCCGAATTTCTGCTCTCCCACGTGAGCTATTGTCTAAAAGCCTTGTGGAGGTCCCAGCCCCAGCACACCAATGTTGGGGTGCCAGAAGGCTGGTACCTGGCAGGCCACGACAGTGCTGGGTGCTGCAGGGCAGGGAGACAGGGACCTGCACCGGTGGGTGCTGTGCACGGGTGGGTGCAGCACACAAGTGGGTGCTGGGCACGGGGACAGGCAGCTGCAGACTCAGGTGAGTGCCTGTAGCAGAGGGAAAGATGAAGCAAACTCCAGCCAGACGTGAACCAAGCTCCTCCCTGATGCCCCTTGCGCCCCCCATGCTGGCCCGTGCCCCCTGAGCTGCAGCCCAGGGGTGCCCCCCGCAGCCCCCACCTCTCTGCAGCCCCCACCTTCCAGGCTGCCCCCCCTCGGGGATGACGGGGTCCATCTCCTCTCCCCACCCCCACTTTCCAATCCAGGACATTTGGGTTGCCAGCGCGAAACGCCGTCTAATCTGCCCTCTAATCCTGCAGCCTGGCTCTGCGCGGGTGCACCGGGGGGCTGGAGCTGCTGTGGGGCTCCCCGGGCTGGGGGCTGGGCCCGGGGAAGCTGTACGGGCCCAGGGGGGTTGGGGGGCTTCCCTCACATCTGCCAGCGCTCGCTAACAAATGAAGCTCCTCAACAAAGGTCCCTTTGTGCCCCACAGCTCGCTCCTGCCAGGCTCTCGCACCCAGTGCCAGCACCCGGGGACCCAGCACAGACAGGGGATGGGGCAGCCCCCACCCCCATGGCCTCACCGGGACCTTTGTGACCGAGCCAGGACACAGGGCAGCGGGGCTGTGTGGGGGCTGAGCGGGGTGCACAGCCGCCGTCCCTCCTCCCCTGGCTGAGCTTGGCTTTTGCAGGAGCTCCAGACAAGCCTCGCGTTTCTGTGGCTCCCTCCGGGCTCTTGCCAAGTCAGGCTGGTCTTTGCAGAGCAGAAAAATGTGCAGCGAAATGTCCGTGTCGCTGCCCTGCACACGCCGAGCCAAAACCAGCGCCCTGAATGGGCAGAGCCGTGGGCATGGGGGGTGGGGGGTGGAGGGGGGGTTGTTTTTGCCACCCCCCGCCCCAGAGACAGACACCTTGGAGGAGCAGGCACGTGGAAACCGTCACTTGCAGGAGCAGGAGGCAGAACTGGGGTCCCCCCACGGCTGCCTTTCCTCGGCTGCAGGCGGGGACGGGTTTGGGAACCCGCGGGGCCCCGGGCGCGGGATTAACGGGGAGGAAGGGAGAGATGAAAGCAGCGTTTGGAGGATGGGGCGGGAAGCAAGCACTGCCCTCGCCCCCCTCCCAGCGACCACCCGCTGCTGAAAGCAGACACGGCGGGGTCGGGGAGCGGGGGGAGCCTGGCAGGACCCCCACACAGCCCCCCGTGCACTGCCCCAGCCCGGGTGCCACCCCTCGCCCAGTGGCACCCAGCACTGTGCCAAGCTGGATGCTGGTCCTGTGGGGAGGGCACGGCCACCCTCGAGGCCATCACGAGGCACACGGGTGTCCTCTCCCTGCCCTCCATCTGCCAAAGCCCAGGAGCTGGCGCAGGACAGACCCTGGCCCCAGCTCCCCCTCGCCTGCACGGGGAGGGGGGCAGAGCCGCGGCCCCCTCCAGCACCCAGCAGCATCTACGAAAATACTTTATTGGGGAAGTGGGATGTGCAGGAGCTCTGTACAGTACAAACCGACAGCAGCGACGCAGTCACCAGCACACAGATGCGCGACAGTGGCACCCGAAGCCCAGCCCGGGGGGGCAGCGGGAGCTGCGGGGGGGGGGGGGGGGGGGAGTCCCAGCCCCTACATCACCTTCGGCCTGGCGTTGAGGCGGATGATGGCCCGGTAGTCCCGCACCAGGTCCCGTAGCTGGTCCAAGTAGGGGTTGACGTTCTCCTCCATCCACTCCTCCACCGTGTCGGGGAAGTAGACCCTCTCCAGGTGGGCACGCAGGTCGTGGACGAAGCCCTCCCAGTCCTCGTGGAGCCTGGCAGGGGGGGAGAGCAGGGGGGGGTCCAGCTCCCTCCTGCGAGGGACTCCAGAGCCGAGCTCAGGACTCTTCCCAGCCCCGTGCGGGCACCCGGGCGGGGGGCTCCCACCCCCCCAGCACCACGTACTTCAGCACCTTGCTGCCGAAGCTCTCCAGGTTGCGGGGGTTGCCAAACTGACGCTTGCGGTGGTAGGGGCTGAACCAGCCCTTGATGGTGCTGGGGAGGCATGAGGGGAGTGGGGGGTACGGGGGCCACGTGGGGACGGGGAGCTGCGCACCACGCAGATCCCCTCCCACGCAAAAACTCTCATGTTCTGGCCCAGTGGCCTCCCGCTGCCCGTTACCTCTCCTCCTCCAGCGCCTTAAGGATGCTCTCCTTCAGGTGGCCGTTAACCTGCTCAACCATGTGGTAGATCTCCGTGCCGGGGAACACTCCCCTGCCCTCGCTGGGGAAAGGCAGGAGGAGGTGAGAGCCCAACACATGGGGTGCACTGGCCACGCCGGGGCTCCAGGCTGGGTGAACCCCAACACCCTGCGTGGCCGGGGGACGCCCGCCCTTGCCCCAGGGAGGGTCTGGGACTGGGGCATTCGGGTGACCAACACCCCCCCGCACCCCTCCTGTCCACCCCTTCTGATGCAACCTCGGCGGCCAGGCCGTGCCACGCACCACGTGCTCTGCTCCAGCTCCATGCTCTGGAAGCCCAGCGCGTCCAGGACCTTCCTCTTCGTCTCTTCCGTGAAACCCCCTGGGGAGGGCGAGGAGAGGGGCAGAAGGGCCCGGCACCACCCCACCCCATCACTCACCGCTGGCTTCCCCAAAACCGGGGGAGCTGAAGGTCTCCTTCCCCCACCTCCCATCCCCTCCCGCTATCCTGCCTGCAGGACGGGGTCTCACAGCTACGTGGGGTGGGGAGAGGTGGGATGAGCCCGGCCGCGACGGCTGGTCCGGTGCCGGTGCCGGCGGCGGGGCGGTGGCTCACCGTTCACCAGGGTCTGCAGGCAGACGGCCAGGGACGGGATGCCGACGGGCAGCAGCTCGCAGAGCACCGAGTAGTGATCGTACCTGCGGAGCGGGGCCAGCCGCGCCGTCGCCTCCCGCGCTGCCGCCGGCGGGGCTGCCCGGCCGCCGGGGAGGGGGGTGGTGGTGGTGGTGGGAGGGGGGGGTCCCGTTGCCCCTCACCTCTGCCAGCCGGTGAGGACGATGCCCTGGAAGCGCAGCGGGGCCAGCTGCGGCAGGGCCTGCATCACCTTCAGCCAGCTCAGGTGGTTTTTCAGGTGGTAGCTGAGGGGGGGCCAGCTCTGCGCCGGTCCCGTGGTGCCCTTGAAGGCGCTGGCGAACCACACTGCCTCGAAGCCGCTCTCCGCGTACTTGGTGAGGAATGGCCCTGCAGCGGGACAGGCACGAGCCACCAGTGCCACTGTCCCCAGGGGTCTGGGAGGGGGGGGATTGGGGAAGGATGTCCCGTCCCCCCGCCGCCAGCCCCGGGAGCCCGGCATGCTGCCTTACCGATCTGCTCAGCCTCAAAGTCGGGCGCGTAGAACCACACCACGGGCGAGACATGCTTTGCTATCCCCGACTCTGTGGGGGGAGCAGGGATGGGGAGGTGGGCACCGGTGCCAGCGGCAGGAGACCCGTGTCCCCACGGGGCCAGGCGCAGGCTGGGCACCATGTCTGCTGGGGTGGCCACGCAGATGGGTGCTGCCGAGACCCCCCGGCTTGGGTGCCGGCGCTGCCGTCCCCATCCCCTCACCCCGCAGGGCTCCCACGCTGATCTTCCTCAGCATGTCGTCCCACATCAGCGCCCGCAGCCCCCAGTACTGCGTGGCGATGAAGCCCAGCACCTCCTTGATGTGCTTCAGGTACATGGTCCCCACATCGCCCTTGTTGCGGCTCATCCAGTTCTTGGAGTCCATCCCCTCCCCGAGATGGAAGACCTGGGTTTTTTGGGGGGGGGGGAAAGGGGATTCTCAGCACCCCTGGGAGCACGCCTGGCACCCGGGGCGAGGGCTGGGGTCCCTGCACGGCCCGTTGCCCACCTCATCTGCACCGATGTGGATCCAGGTGGAACGCTTGTGCTTCTCGATCACCTGTGACAAGATGCTCTTGAGCAGGGCCAGGGTGTCGGGGACGTGGGGGTTGAAGCTGTTGGGGAAACGCTCGACCTCCCGCAGGTGCTGGTACTTCTCGTGCTTGAGGATGAACTGCGCAGGAGGAGCTGTCAGGGACGGTGGTGGTGG